CATCAAATCAAGATAAGTCGTCGTACTTTTCAGCCAAGTCACTGAACATCATATAATGAAACTTGTTATTCATAACATTGAATAATCACATAGTCATTAAATTTGTACGAGAATCACCGCAAGAAGCTTGCGTGCTCCTCTTAGTGCAAATATTTCTTAAACTAATGTTCGACTATCAGCGACCCGTAAAACACTTGCGGTAGTTTTAATACCTTTCGCTTGAATTGTCCTTATTCTATAATTTTCACGTACAGCATTTAAGTTACCCTTTTTTGCAGGCATTATGTCCTAGATCGATAAATTTTTACCTATTAAAAAAAAAAGGTGTCAGACACCCAACTCAAGTAGATGTAACTTTATTTAATAAAACTACACGTAAAGTAAACAAAGTATAGTAATGGCATTTGTAATAGTATACAGAGTATGAAACAGTCATGGGCGTTCAGTGTATGACACGATTTTACGAGCTGAAACAAAACTCACAAAAACCAAGACTAAAACCGTACGAAAGAAATAAAGTAGCTAAAATGTGTTTATAGCAGTCAATGGAACGAACCAAAGCTAAATTATTGTAAAGCAAAGTAAATGTAAAGTTGTAATGAAGGTAAACTTAGCTGAATATGCAGAAACGCCTAAATGCATGTTAACAAAGTGATACGCATATGGTTTTGAACGAAATGAGCATGCGTATTTTTAAGAAAGCTCATAGCAATTGTATTTAGCGTAATGTGAATTTTGTTAAAGAAAATTACACGTAGGTTAAATTGTTGTTTGTGTGAAATACCTTGTAATTAAGAAACCTAAAGTGGAAATTGAAGCCAATTATCACGTGATAACAACAACATTGTGCCTTCGTGTAGCATACTCATTACATTACAAAGTTTGACTAAACAAAAAACATGTTATCTAATTCTGAATGGAATATCCAATATGCACTCAGGACTTCTCGGACAAAAGTATCTTTAATGATATGAGATTTGCAGCCTTTGATTGAAAAAATTGCGAGAAACGCAATCGTACTATTTTTAAACTTAGATTTTGACTGGTTTCGTTATCTGAGCGGCCGGCTTCAAAATCCTTCTGAAACACCGTAAACAATCTTAACTTTTCTCGGCTGTTTCTGTTGCAAGTATAGATTAATTGTACAGATGAAAACTGCAAAAGCACGGCTGTACTGTGTCTCAATATCACGAAATTCATGAAACCCCCGAACAAAGTCGCCACCCCTTAAAGTATATAGTTAATTATTCCTAAGAAATATATTGTAGAAATCCTACCATAAACAGGATAACAATGTGTATAAGACAAAGTTAATAACTTTAATGTTTCACTGATCTAACAGTTGTATTTTTTAACTTGAACGTCTACGATTACATATATATGCTTACATGACCATTATGGGAGCTGAAATACGAACTTTGAGGGATTTGTTTCACTTATCTGCTATAATGTTCAAATTGTGGTAACCTCTTTTGATTTTATTTTTTATAATTCTGGTTCAATAGGAGCAACTTCCTTTCCCTAACTGGATATATCCACTGTGCTATTGGATGCTACTTCCTCAAATACCTATCCAACTAAGGTACATTTTTTTCCCATTCCACATTGTACTTTGTATCTTAGTTTTATTTGTGCATTTTTTTTTAATAGACAAATTTTTGACATTTTTGACTGAAAAGTTGTTTGAAACACCCACACATATATAGAGGTATAGAGATGTACTCCTCGGTCCAATCATAACTTGTCTTGCTGAATACATAAAAACGTGGGAGTTACCACAAGGTGGCTGTATTTTTATAAAAGGACACATGACAGTAAGAACTCGAAATACCACCACGTATAGCTCACCACATGTTTAGAGTGCATGATTTTCACACGGTAAGTTGAGCTCATACTAAGCACCAAATAAGAATGAGTGTGATTGCAAATATGAAGCAGACATTAACTCAATAGAATATGGCTTTTCTATTTCTGTAACTGTAAATACATACCTATTTTATTAGACTGACTGGAAGATAGGGCTGATTGCAGTTAGTAGAAAACGGATATATACAATAGACAATGCATTTTCAATTTGTAGACAGCTTTTAATACGTTTACAGAAATTAATGTTTTTATTGGTTTTCTGCTTAATTTTATTCGAAAGTAATTATAATTGTTCCTAGTAATGTCTTCTGTTTTTAAAATAACTAGCTGTTAAATAAAGCATTTTAAAACTCTACACCGTATTGTTCACAAAAAAGGCAACAAAATCTACAAGTTTACTTATAGCTAGGACGAGGGTGACGTATTGTTAGAGGGCCTAGACAGTGAATCGGAGAGTTCATGGTTCATATCCTGTTACCGCTTCGCACTTTTGACCATGTGTACACTATAACAGTGACTCTGAAATCACCCTATTCAGTCAGTCAAGAGTAGCTCAAGAGTTAGCAATGTTTGCTGTTCACTATCTAGCTTCCCTCTAACTTATCCGTTCAAAATTAGACACCGCTATGCGCAGATAGCCCTTATGTAGCTTTGCGCAAAAATCCTAAAACAAACAAAAAAAAAAAACATACTTGTAGCTTATTTCTGACGCTATAGTGCTCTCAAACAGAATCATTTGGTGGTCGCTTACAAGTTTCCTGGAAAGAAAGGAGTTCAAACTAAAGGATTCTGAAAGAGGTCATGGATGGAAACAAATATTTCAAACTAAAGTTTCCCATCGGGTAGTGCTCTAACTAAGATTCAAATGTCATAATTTTTTTCATGGAACGATTATAGTTATAAATTTTGTTATTTACTGAACATATTCTGCATCATGTGGAAGACCTGAAAAAAAACATAAAAAGAAGTTGCTTTATTTTAAATTAAGAAAAAATGAAAGAAAATTAAAAATAGACAACGCTGGAAATATCACCATGGTTTATAATATATTTAATATATAATATGTTTAGAAACAAAGTTTTAAAGCATTCATTTTTTCCTTGAAACTTTAGTTTGTTACCGATATCATGCTTGTGCTTGTTTATGCTTGTTTCTAACTAAGTGCAAAGATACACAAAGGGCAATCCGTGCTCTGCCCACCACGGGTATCGAAAGCTGGTTTCTAGCGTTGTAAGTCCACAGACATTCCGCTGTGCCACTGGGGGCCCCGATATCACCCCCAAGAGGCCAAAAATACAATGTAGAACATTATGTATATTTAT